TCACGGGCAGCACCACCACCACCGCACTTCCCCATGCCGCCCCCCACCATGGTGCCGCCGATGCGGCTCCTGAGGAGGGAGGAGTCACCCGAGCCGAGACGCTGCTGCTGGTGGCGGTGAGGACTGAGTGCGGCCTTGGGGGTCCCCGCCTCATCAAGTTGATGAGGTTCACGGGAACGATCCGTGCCCCGGGGTAGAGTGGGCGGCAGCCCTTTCATGGTGGCGGCAGCAGTTGGTGAAGCAGCAGGTAGGGACGGCGAGATGTGGGCAGCCCGACGCAGATGGGTTCTACGACGCCAGATGTGCCACCAAGTCGTCGGTGGACCGCCTCATCAAGGAGGTTCACGGGGCGGGTCAGGGGGGCCAAGCAGGACTGTTGGATGCGATTCGTGAGTGGGGCTGTGTTTGTGCGAGTGTCTGTGCAGGTTGCTCGACGGATCGTTGTCTACATTTTATATTTGGATGTCTCGGGCAAAAGATAACCGTGTTTCGTGTGCAACGAGCAACGGGAGCTGCCATGGTACGAAGATACATGTAATAGAGACAAGCACGTGACATCAATGGGCATGTCGCATGTGTAATGTGCGAGGCAGCTGCCGACCCCGCCCCAGTGCCGGCCCTTCACGCCGACCCTGCTGCCCCCAGAAAAGTCGCAGCCATCATCGAGGCCGTCATCAGCCGCACCGCCACCTACAGCAGCACGACCGTGGCGCCAACCCCCGCCCTCCGCCTGCCAGTCGGCGTACCCCGTCTGCTCACTGTCGGCTGCCCTGCTGATCGCCCCACATATGGACCACCCCGACGGCAGCAGCGCCAACACAGAGATCTACGGGGAGGCGAGGGCGTTTTTTGTCGAGAGCAGCGACGGCCAGGCGCTCTACGACAGACACTTTGCTGCGAAAGGTGGAGGGGGAGACAAACGCGGTCACACATGCACATACACACACACACACAGAAGTACGCAGAGACGCACAGTGTGTGTGTGTGTCTGTGTGAGAATAGGCCGGGTCAATTCGTCAGTGGCGCGTTGAAGTGGGACAAGCCCCATAAGCACCTCAATTGCACGGTGAGCCAGGTCATTGACCTGCGTGCACAATATGACTTGGAGGAAGATGGTGTGTTGTGCTCTCTGTGTGGCTGATTCAGGCCGAAAGCAACTCACCGAGACCCGAGAGCGTCTGCAGTTGGCGCAGCGCTCGACCGAAGAGGTGCGCGAGGCGAGAGAAAAAGGAGAGACCAGCACACATGCCCGTCTTGTGTGTGGGCAGCGTGAGAAGGACCAGGACCCCGGTACGGTGTGTATGTGTTTGTTGCTGGTGCGCAGATCGCTGGCTACATTTTATATCTGATCGACTGATAACGACCCTCCACCGCACTGCCTTCCCAGCCGTGTGCGCACCGAATGTGAGCTGGCAAAGCAGACTGATCGACCTGCACGCGTCTCGTGTCTGTGTGTGCAGAGCGATCGCCGTTTACACCTTACATCGGTGGGCCTCTCCTTCAAGATTGGCTGTTGTAAATCGCTTTGATATCCCCGGCGGCGCCGCAGGTACGTAGGTGAAAGAGGCTCATAGACCGATTTGCTCATGTCTCCCCTCTTCTCCTCTCTTCTCTTTTTTTCCTTCGCATACTTGGCCGCCCCGGCGGCCACCGCGAGACATATCTTGGCCAAGCTGCAGGACGACGTGGGCTCATGGAGCAAGGGAAGACCCCGACGAGCCAACGAGGTATGTCTGATGCACACGTCCATTTGTATACACACCACGACCTTGTTTTTATATGTATGGTGTCCAGCTGGTGACGCAGAAGAGGAGCCACCATGCCCGTGGTTTCAGAGGATCGCCACCGTAAGTATTGGGATGTGTTCGGGTTGAATCCCGGTAGCAGTTTCGATGAGATCAAGAAACAGTACAAACGACTCGCGCTGGTAAGAAGCGACGCCGCTAGCACGAGAGAAGGGGTGCAGCGTATCTATCGTGCGGCATGCGGGGCTTTGTGTGTGTGTGCAGGAGGTCCACCAAAACAAGCCTGGCGGGTCCAAGGAGCAGTTCTAGGAGCTGTCCGAGGCCTACGAGTTTTTCAAGGCTGAGTTTGACAACTGGAACTGGACAGACGAAGCCGCCAAGGTGGGCAGCGCAGAGGGCATACACGTGGCTGGCCGCCGCAATGAGTGAATGGATACCTCCTCCGCGTGTGTGTGTATGTTTGGTGCGTCAGAGGAAGGCGGAGGACCTTTTGGCCAAGGTAGGTCGGGGAGGAAGGAAGGCACCCGTGTGCGTGTCTCGTGTCTGTGTGTGCACCAGATAGATCCCAAGCTCTCAGAGAGAGAGAGAGGAAAAGATGGCCGCCACCCGCACGCCGCATGCCGCTGCAATGAGGCAGAGCCTCACGAGCAGAGGCCTCGACGTCCCCGACGTCTACACCGACTCCAGGGAGGCCCACGTGCTGAAGTTCCTGCGCCTGTCGCGCGAGCACCCTGCGGTGAGCAAGGGAGGGAAGGCACACCGGGACACTGGCAGGCAAGACCATTAACAGTAGTTTGCCTGCTCACTTGCTGCAGGAGTGCAAGGCCTTCCTGGAGTCGGTCCGGGGGACGTGGGAGGGCCGGGACATGAAGCTGATGATGCTCAAGTACGATGCCGACGCCGACCAGGTACGTACGTACATCGCACACACATCCATCTGCACACAAGACACAACCAACTGATGCTCTCTGCTCTGCTGTGCTGTGCTGTGCTGTGCTCTCTGGGCAATTCGCCGTTCTGCAGAAGGAGGCTGCCAAGACCTCCACCGACCACCACAGCCAGCACCAGCAGCAGCCTGCCGGCACCACCAGGAAGGTGCTCGTCAGGGCTGGGGAGTGGGGTGAGGGCGCCGATGGCTATTATGCCAGCGCCCTCACCCAGTGGGACCTGGCCCACTGGCAACGGAGGGGGGCGTGTTGGGTGGTGACCTGGACGGTGCCCGAGGAGGGGTGCTGCTGCGTCGAGGCGGGGAGGGGCCGGAGGGTATCATTCTCCACGTCCTATACACAGAAGGAACAGAAATCAGTCAGGTGGATTTCCTGTTCGTGTGTGTGCTTTCGGGTGGTGTGCAGATCGCTGGCTACATTTTATATTTTGATCGACCGATGACGCCTTCGGACCGCACCGCTGTCTGGCCGTTTGCACGTCGACTGTGAGCTGTCAACATACACTATATAGTGATCAACTCCCGTGTGCGTGTCTCGTGTCTGTGTGTGCAGACAGATCGCCCCCTGAGTGTGGACTACTACGAGAACCTTAACAACCTCGACATGCCCACGTGGATCAACCGCCACGCCGAAAACTCATCCGCCCTCTTCCTCGCGCAGGTGAGGGAGGGACTCGGGGAGAGCAGGAAGACACCATCACACGCATGATCTATTGGGCACCACACGCGTACACACGCGTATGTGTGCATGTGTCTTGCCGTTGTCTGTCCACCTGCAGGTGCGCGGCAACGGGGTCGCGGGGCGGCTGCAGACCCTGACGGCCATGGGTGGGCGTGATATTCCAGGAGCGTGTGGGGCTGCTCGCCGACGTCCAGACCTTCCCCCACTGGGTGCCCGCTGTGCCGTTGCAGCGAGGCTACTGGGCCGATGTCGACTCGATTCGCAGCCGCAGCACCCACCGCCTCATCAACAGCCACGAGTTGGCTGCCCGCATCGACCACTATCTCTCGGTAAGGACAGCAGAGACACTCAACGCGCGCACACGTCCATGTGTTCATGTTTCCCCGATCTGTCTTGGTGGTGTCCGTGACTGATTCGTTCAGGGTGCCATAGTGATCTTCGAGACGGCGTCGCGGGAGGCCAACCAGGCGATGGAGGCCGCCAAGCGTCCGGCGCACCAGCTGAACCGCCCCGAAAACGCCATGGCTGTGGACGATGACGACCACCCTCACGCCCCCAACCTCGCACCCACCGACAGCGACGAGCGGCGCCAGAAGCGCTCGACTCACTGGTACATACACACACATACAGATACAGGTACACAGGAGGGAGGGGAGGACTGGATGGATGGATGGATGCACATAGCTATGTGGAATGCCTACACCTGCCTGTCTGTCTGCTGCATTGCACTGTTGCAGTGCCGCTACGCCCACGGCGTGGGGGACCTGTCAAAGAACAAGGACAAGAACAAAGGTAGGTGTGCTTTGACAGGTGACTGAGTGAGCTTGTCATGCACAAAGGCAATGGGCGGACAGATATTGTGTCGTGTGCCTGCATGTGTCAGGTCTCGCACATCGCTGCCTCCGTTTTATATCTGTCAAGACCTATATTTGCATTGCTCGGCACTCTATGACGTCTCACTCCGACTGCCCCCTCTATCTTCTGTCCACTCTGAGGTGAGAGAGGGAGGGAGGGGGAGGCCTGGATGGATGGATGGATGAACATGGACGTGTTGTGTCGGGTCATCAGAAGCACGTCATAGCGGGAGACGGGTCACCTGACGAGCTGCGGATAACCGAGCAAGAAAGATAAGCCGCCACATGAGCACACGACAGGCACTATCGAGACAGTTTCACTTACACTCTGTACGGATTGTGTAATGTGTTCAGCTCCTCCCACCGCATGGCGTCAGCCGCATCGCTCATCCCCCGCCCCACGTGCCGCCCCCTTCGTGCCCCTTCGTCGCGTTCATCCCCCGCCCTACGTCCCGCCCCCGTCCGTGCCCCTGGCAGCACCAGCCCTGCACCTGCCCCTCCCACTCCAGCACCCCTTCCCTCCCCCTCCCGTGCCAGCAGCACCACCCCGCCACGCCCTGCCCTCACCTGCAGCCGCACCAACCCGCCACGTCCCTCTTCCCTCACG